TTCAAGGGGAAATACCATGCCATCAACGCTTGTGTCCTAGAAAAGCGTAAAAGAGGTTACACTGGCAAGAAATCATCATAAGATCTGATAGCCAAGCACCTATTAAAGCATAGCATGTAAAAAATCACATTATAATTAGTCAGTGAATGCATCAAAAATTTCCAAAACCTAGGGAAACACAACAACCTGATGCTACCTCCGGTGCTAGGACACAGAGGAATTTTGGGTAACGAAAAAGCAGGCAGACAGGCCAGAGTCTGCAAGACCATACATGGTCCTTGAACCTATACTTGAGATAACAAAAACAAATACAGAATCCTTCATCACAGAATGGATCTAAATAAAACGAAAGGAGAAGTGAATAAACTCAAGGAGCGCTAGAGTCAGTAAAGTTATGCTAAAACCCTCAACAAGGTTGGCAAACTCAATGCTGCAGTGGAGAGAAACTCAGTGATAGGACATTAGCCGGTCACTTGCATTTGAGAAAACATCTACAAAACATGGGTACATGATGATGATCCCATCTGCAGATTAAGCAATGAGGAGGAGGAGGAGGCAGCAGCCACCCATATCATCTTCGAATGCGAAACAACGGCTCTATGGAGATTTAACCTAGCATACAGGAAAAACCTAGGGAATGAAATAGTAGCAATAACAATCAATGACTTAATACTGAGAAAATTCTAGTTGACGTTGATCGACCTACGTAGTTTAAACTGATGTTGTATTGGATCTTCTTGAGGTCATTTTACAGGTGAATAAAGAACATCACTATTGGGTTTCACCGAGCTTTCGGCGAATGTGGTCAGCTTAGTGAAGCCCAATAGCGATGTTCTTTATTCACCTGTAAAATGACCTCAAGAAGATCATGCATCACTGAGAAAATATCTGCACAACATGGGCATATGTAACGATGATCCCATCCAACAGCCGCCCATATCATCTTTGAATGCGAAACTCAATGGAGATTTAACCTAGCATTCAGGCAAAAAACCTAGGCAATGAAATTGAAGCAGTCAATGACCTAACTCTTCTAAGAAGAAGGATTGAGTCGATTTCATTGAACTAGGGAACTCGGAAGGTGCAATAAGCCAGAAAGCTGCAGTGCCTGGAAAACACAAACCCCACTTCCTAGTTTCATCATCATCACGATCCAGATCCTCCGAAGGCTAACTTTAGCAAGTACTGTTGATACGCGAGAGCTCACCGCCTATCCAGCCCACCGACACTGCCAATGTTTTAAAATCGTGTTTTAATGCATTTTTAGCGTCGGAACCTTTATCCCGTACAGTATGAAGACTGATTTATGGTATTGAAAAAGTTCAGGTGGGATTCTTCAAACGAGCTCTAAAATAAGTCAAACATTTCGAACGGATTCGTACGTCTAAAGGCGGGAAAAGTGAAGTTAAGCCACCTAGTGGACCAGGGTGGAAACTGGTTCTAAAGAGCTTAGGAATGAACAATTGCCAGTTGTGCTTGTCCTTGCGTCAGCCCACGAGAAGGAAGACTTGTTACACCTAATTTTTGTATCCCCACCACAAACAAGAAGTCAATATTTTCCGTTATTTAACATTTCTTCTCGTGTTCCGCTGTTCTTGCTAAATAATCAAAACCAATAGTGAGAGTTTGTGCTTTACAACTTTGAAATCTGTGACAAACCAGGGTTTTCTAAAAATATCTGTAGCAAGTCTTTGCAAAGTCTGTAATTAGGTTTAAAAAATTATTGTTTTTAGTATTCCTGCCACAAACATATGTTTATGTTTTTTCATTACAAGTGGCTTTTTTCTTTTTCTCCGCCAAGACGGATAATTAATTTAACTTAATTGTACTCCGAGGTGTTTATAAACACGCGGGAATCGTGTTCCTTCCCCCTCTATCATTATAGTCAGAAAATACCGGTTTAATTTTGCTCATCATTACCGCAAATAGATATCAATTTGCCCTTAAAATAGAAATCGGTCATTAGGCAAATTTCTGAAAATCGTAGAAGTTTTTTATTTATTTCACTACGACGATGTCGAGTGGTTTCTAACACACATGAAGTATATGTAAATGAAAAGTGGTGGCCTTCCTGTTTCAAGGTAAATCAGGGCAATTCGTGGGTAGACCAAAAAATAGAGATGTTTCTATTTGGGCATGCGCCTCCTTAAAGAAGTTCAAAAATGCTGACTTACTTTAATAGTCAGCAGAAGGGAAGAAAATACTAAAAAAAACCTTTACTTCAAGTAATAATATTTGTTAAAATAAGGTTGAACGATGAAATGTTAAATCGTCTTTTATAATATTTAAATAAATAAAAATATTTTCATTTTGCTACAATTTATTACCTACAGAGAAATAAGAAACTAAATGATTGTAAATTATTTTCAAATGAATAAACACAATATATTATGATTTTTTTACTGTACTTAATTAATAATAACAACAGCGATAATGCTTATTACAAAATATGTTTAAAAAATAAAACAAAATATCTCAAAGGAAACATTCTTGGATACTAATCAGCCAGCAGAATTGCAAAACAATTTTTTAAAATAGTAAAACAAAAAAGAAATAAAAGACAGAGGAAAATAAATAAAATCAATTCTAACTAATAATGGCCCGAAGTTTCAGGAAGGGAACATGGATCAAAGAACAGGGAGTAGGTGTAGGGATAAAAGGGCCGAACTATACCCTAGCCCCTTGGACTAACCACAATAATTTTTCAAACTGAAGCCCGTGCAATACCACTCTGTGCGAAGGTGTTCGCAAAGAAAAATATGAAAGGTGCACGGATTTACTCTCAGAGAGCCAGACTATAATGGCACTAAATGCGTAGGCTTTCAACTCCAAACTTGTCTGGGAGTGGCTAAATTCCCCAATGGCTCGAGTAAAACACAGCAAGATTACGTTAAAGTGGGTTCCGGGATGGCGATTTAAAAGGAAATGAACGGGTTGACCAAATAGCTAAAAAAAGGAGCAACCCTCTCAACCACATTATAGAAAAATTATAGTCCTCTATACTGGTCACTACCCTTTTAACTACCATCTAAAGGAGGTTGAGAGAGACAGAAACATGCTATTCTGTTAGAAGGAACCAGAGACGTCGGCACATATCCTCTGTGAATGTGAAGCTAAAGCTTGTTAGGCTAATGCCTGTTTCACTATTTTCAACATTTTCTAAATTTCTTTTAGGTTACAAAGATGGCATCAATTCGGTCTAAAAGGTCCAAAATTTAAGATCAACTATTCACTTATTAGTTTCACTTCAGTAACGATATAGAGTGTAAATAAAATCGGGCTTAAGATTGGGGCACATTCCATGAAAAAAACACATTTCTAGCTTTAATTTCTCCGTTGCGGTATTCTTCTAAACTTATATTAAAAATTAAATTCACTATATTTCCTGGTCCGATTGACCAAATATCTTCGTCAATTAATGTAACAATAAATGTACTTTATGTAAAGTATTGGTTGAAATGAAAAAGTCAGTGTCACGAGCGGGATTCGAACCCACGACCTTCGGCTAAATATGCCGTTGCTCTACCACTTGAGCTATGGTGATTTCGATCCACTCGGACACCAACTTCCCATCTCAACCAACCTTTCGAATTTAACCTCCTTTTTGCCATTTTTCAAATTATATATTATCGTGTATTCTATTCGATTCTCGGGGACAAATGATCGATTTATTAGAATGAATGCAATATATTAGCGAGAATGGAAGGAGATCGCTTAGCCCCCCCCCCAGAGAAATATCGAGTATTAGGGGGGAGTGGAATGATGGAGTGAGTTGGGTGTTCAATACTTTTAAAAAGATATTTTTCTACTCACAGTAAGTTGTTTTCAATTATCCCAATTTCGAGCTTACAGCTCATCATCAGGTTAGGGGGGAGTATGTGACGTCTGTAGAGTAAAAGTAAGTTACTAGCGAGAATGGAGTGGGTTTAACACTGCTACCGAGAAATGTCGAGTCTGGGGGAGTGAATGTGATCAGACTTCCCACGCCCTGAAGATGATCTCAATAAAGATCGAAACGTTGGCACGATACATTTCTAAGCCTACGCCACACCAGACCGCATCTCACGGTCTCCAAATAATCAATAAGTGATATGCTGGCTTGATAGAGGAGGTCTCTTAACCCATCCCCGAGGAATATCGAGTATTGCGCGTTGAGTGTGTTACGTCTTTAGAGTTAAAGTAATTTATTAGCGAGAATGTAGCGTGTTCAACACCATCCTTCTATATTTGTGTCTAGTGATTATGTATACACACGTATTGTACATTTTATGCCGCAGTTCAAAATCTGAGGTACAAATAAGAGACTTATAAAACCAGAGGCAGTAATAGATCGAGACACTCAACCACAAAAACACGCAGAGAACCGGCGATGCCTCACCTGTTTGTCGGCCACTAAACTTCCCATATTATTATTATTTCAAACTATATGTATTTTTATCGTTTTATTAATTACAACATTAATGTAAACCAAATTAAACGAGATTATATATGAGTTTAATAAAAATTATTTATGATGGTTTGAAATAAAATTCAACAAAACACGGGAAAATCATTTTGTGATTGATTAAAATTTACAAATTTTGTTAAAATTCATGCATTTCTGATCCAGTTTAATTTAGTTTACGTTAAAATAAACATTTGTAATTTGAAATTGTTTAATAATACTATTTCTGGCACGAATGGCTCCATTATTTCACTTTGATTACCTTCGTGTAAGAAATGTAGGGATTGTTTTCTATGAATAGTCTTGAATCAAAACAGAAATATTTTTCAATTTTTTTTTTGCAGGTTGTATGTATTTTTCCGCTGTTTAATCGTCTTATATCATCCTGGCCTTCGTACCCTCGTCGGTCAGACGCGTTTCGTCATTTCTCAATCTTAAGCGGTTGCTGGCCAATGATCAACAAGCAACCTGCGAACCGGACAAGATTGTTCTTTTCTTTAACTGAAAATAAAACACTATTGCAGATTTTGCTTTTAGATATTTTTATATTTTGCAGAAATTCTTCTGAAGCTGAATTGGTCCTGAAGTCTTTGATGTTGGAAGAACCGAATGGAATTAGGATTTTCACAGTTTACAAGTTGCAGGTATCGTTTTTCTTTCTTGAATGTGGAAGTTCGTAAAGGCATAAAATGCCGACCTTGTATTATTTCACGGTTTTATTTTCTATAGTTGACCTTTAGCCAATAATGGATTGAACAAACAAAACAGGTTGTTCTTTAGACGTATATCAGAGTTGAAGTTATTAATGTTAAATGTCAGAAACCGCTTTTCTGTGAGAGAACATCAGTCTTGGAAGGTCGCCCATCATATGTACATTATGCTCACTACATGCCGAATTTATTAATTTAAAGGTTAACTTTGATCAAACGGTTTTTAACAGATTTGAGTATGTCAAAGTGTACTTCTGCTTCGGAAATTTTCCGCGACAAGTAACGCTCGGTCAGCGGCATATTAAAAAGATATTTTAATTCTACTTTTTGCCCATGAAGGAGTCAAACCAGTAATCCTGACCATTACACCCACCGAGGAACAGGTCTGCGTTTTGACCTTTATAATCTTTTAATAGTAGAGCCTTGAAAAAATGAGCGGAATCACTAGGGTTACCCCACACCATGGTATTTCCGCCATTGAAAAACTTTTAAAATATTGAATTATCTGTTGGTATTTTTCCACCCGAGACAAAAAACAACAATAACCGAATAATCCGGATGACGCAGGTTGTTCGGTAAGCAAGTGTAAGAACAGTTTAATAGGTCTTAATTACAAAAAACACCAGGGCTACAATCTACAATCAAACAACCATGCAAATTACAGGGCACTGACTGTTATCTACTGCGAAATGGAATGTTGCTATAGTCATAACAATAACGATTCAATTTTACAATGGACTACAACATGATTTTATACAACTTGATAAAAGTATTGAATCATTGTCAGTACAATATTATACTTTAATAACTAATTGATTCTAGTTTTCATTGTTTTGTAAAGATGTTGAGTTATTTTTCCTAATTTTATATTCAATGTACCTCTAAAATCAGACGTCAAAACAGTCGTTTCAACACGACTCACAAGAATGACACATCTACACGGAAAACAAACACTTTGAGGCCTGAAGATGATCTCAATAAAGATCGAAACGTTGGCTCGGTAAAGAAAATGTTTTTCTAAAACCTAATTCACACCAGACCGCATCTCACGATCTCCGAATAATCATTGACTAACGGTCACTAAACACCACACACGTAATAATTAACTCTTTCAATTAATTTTTTCTGAAGAAAATCTTGATTGATAGAATAATGTTCAACATGAATTCAAAAGATTTACTTAGCCACAAGCACTATGGGTTCAGGCCTCAAAAGACAATTGATGCGATTATGGCAGATAAAGATTATAAGCTTCTTCGATTCTGGAGAAATGATTTTGCTCATATCACTGGACGTGGAAGGGGCCTTCAATGCTGCATGGTGGCCAGCTATAATGTGGCAACTGAAGCAATATAATTGTCCAAAAAGTCTGGTCAAATTGTCATAAAGCTATTTTCATACCGAAGTGCATCTATGGTGAGAAATAACGAGAAAAGTATTATTAATGTCACAAAGGGTTGCCCACAAGGATCAGCATGTGGACCTGGTTTTTGGATTGTGCTCTACAACTCATTATTAAAGGAAGAGTTGCCTGATAACTGTGACGCGGTTGCATTTGCAGACGATTATTTATTGATGGTGCATGCGAGAGTTCCTTGTGATATTCAAACAAGGCATTGACTAGGATAAACTTATGGGATAAATCAAAGAAAATAAAGTGTAATGAGTCCAAATCACAAGCTCTCCTAATAACTAAAAAAAGAAGGCCAGGTAATATTAATATTTATTTATATAGTAAGAAACTTGAGATAGTTACACAGCTTAAATATTTAGGAGTTATTTTTAATAGTAAATTAACTTGGGATTCTTATATACAAGAGAAAACTGACGATACTATTAAGTTAGTCAATGCTCTTTCAAAATCAGCAAAAGTAAGTTGGGGACTAAACTCCGAGGGCCTTAGATTGATGTATGATGGTGCAGTGGTTCCGAGAATTGCCTATGCTTCTCCTGGGTGGGCTGATTCAGTTACAAATAATAAGAAAATAATGGCAAAACTGCAGTGAGTGCAAAGAATCATGGCAATAAGGATGATTAAGGGTATCATACCATTTCATATAAAGCGGCTTGCATTGTTGCGAATATAATGCCTATACGAATAGGAATAGAGGAAGATAGCTCAACTTAAAATATTACACGAAATAGTGAATTACCCCACTTTATGAGTTGAGATGGGGAGTTGATGTCCGAGTGGATCGAGGTCACGATAGCTCAGGTGGTAGAGCAGCGGCGTATCTAGCCGAAGGTCAATCCCTCTCGTGCCATTAACTTTTTTCATCTCAACTAAAAACCTTAATTAATTGTCTTGTATTAATTGGTTAAGCGGACCACGAAAATAATGAAATAGTGAATAATGGTAATGTTGAGCTTCAAGGCACAACATATGATAGACCATTGCAATATAAAGANTACATTTTATATATTTTATATTTATGGTTATTGCATTATATGTAATATTTTGTATGAAGCATATAGAATAAATATAAAAAAATAAAAATAAAAAAAAGAGTCTCTACAAGGAAGTGGGGACGTTGGTCGCCTTGGAGCCAGTAAAGCTTCTTTGGACCCTGGTCAAAGTGAGCGAGTAAGGTAGTAGTAGTAAGGTAGGTAGTGTTTTTTATAGTAGTAAGGTAGGTAGTTTTTTAATATTTTTTGTATGTCTCTTAAAATTCAGGCCTTTTTTCCTACCACCCCCAAATCAAACCAAACAGGCTGTAATTCCAGTAAAAGGTCAAGATCGTCAGGACAGGAATCTCCGATTGTTAAGACAGCGCCCTCGCTTCCTGATAAAGGTAAAATAGAAATGTCCGAACCAGAACTTGAATCAATTGCTCATTTAAATCCGATCTTACGGGGTCGTCAAAATTGTTTGAAAATAAATTGCTCTGAGATGCTTCAAAAGATCACATGAGAGAAGACAATACTTTTTAAAAGGATAGTTCCTACTCACAGTAAGTTGTTTTGCAACGATCCGGATTTCGAGCCTTTTAGCTCATCATCAGGTTGAAGGACTTCTACAACCACGTCTCTCGACATGAATTGCCAAAGTGAAACCGCTGATACCTCCGCCAACGCGACGTATAAATTACTATAAAAATAATAACAATTAAAATAATTAGTTTAATTATTTGGATGTTTGATATTATTTATGTACATAAAAAATGTAAAATTGAACATACTGATAAATGCATTAATAATATAACAGATTTTGATCTACCTCCCATTTTAAATATGTACATAAATAATATCAAACATCCAAATAATTAAACTAATTATTTTAATTGTTATTATTTTTATAGTAATTTATAGTAATATTAAGTATTTATTATTCTAATATTTATTTGTGCTATAATTTCCGCGTTTCGCACGTTCAAATTGAGCGTCATTAAAAAAATTCAGCTGATAATTGGAACGTCGCGTTGGCGGAGGTATCAGCGGTTTCACTTTGGCAATTCATGTCGAGAGACGTGGTTGTAGAAGTCCTTCAACCTGATGATGAGCTAAAAGGCTCGAAATCCGGATCGTTGCAAAACAACTTACTGTGAGTAGGAACTATCTTTTTAAAAAGTATTGAACACCACACTCACTCCATCATTTACCATTTCTATGAGAGAAGACAGTCCTTCGGGAAGAAAATCTCAATTGGGAGAGGATATAAAGGCTTTAGGGCTCATCACTGTGAAACTGCAGGATATGATCGAACTTGACGTCAAGACTCGTCGTTTTAACTTAATTTTTAAATTCTTGGTTGAGATAAAAAAGTCACTGCCACGAGCGGGATTCGAACCCTCGACCTTCGGCTAAATACGGCGCTGACTAACGTGACTTCGATCCTCTCGGACACCAACTCTCCATCTCGACCTACAACCGTTCGAATTTTCCCTCTTTTTGCCATTTTCAAATGTCGTGTAATCAGTATTGGATTCAGCGACTTGTCTCAACCAAGGCCTTACATAAAAATTATAATTAATTGAAAGAAGTAACTTGGTCAATTGACCACAAAAACATAAATGGGTTAATATTTAATAAGTAAAAGAAGTATCACTTCACTAACATCTCCCCGTGGCCACTTCATAAGTCGCTGAGAATCCAATCCTGATTACACGACATTTGAAAAATGGCAAAAAAGTAACTTGACAATCAATTGACCACACAAACATAAATGGATTAATTTTTAATGCCATTCCTTACACTGAGGGTGGTGAATTATTCTTATACTTGGTGAATATGATTTGTAATTTCAATCAGGAAGTTTTGGCTGACCAGGATGGAAGGAACATCTCTGTATCAACCTTGGGGAAAAATAACAGACCTCGTCCAAAACTCTGCTAGTCTCATTTGCATTCACGCAGAAAAGGTGGAGATCCTCAAAGAGTGATTCAAATTGAAAGGTTCCAGCGTTTTAATTCAACAGGACCTCCTTGTGAGCATGTGACAGAGATCCTTTGGCTACCTAGCTCGAAAGTTGATGTCTTGGCTGATGTCCTTATGTTTGAGGGACTCTCTTTTTAAACTCCCCTGCCATTAATAATAAAAATTGTATTGTGTGATGCTTAGTGACCGTTAGTTAATGATTATTTGGACATCGTGAGATGCGGTCTGGTGATCTCACGAGCTCCAAATAATCATTAACTAACGGTACTAAACATCAAAAATTTCGACATGAGAAGAACGGGGCACTCTCAAGACGACAGACAAGAATGACACGGAAAACAAACACTTTGAGCCCTGAAGATGATCTCAATAAAGATCGAAACGTTGACACGGTAAAGAAAATGTTTTTTCTAAAACCTACATCACACCAGATCTGATCTCACGATCTCCAAATCATCAAATTGTAAAATTTTCAGAGAACCGGTTCTGGAATTTTTGCCTTTATAGTGTACACCCATACGTACATTTATATGTACACAGTTTTCATTGATCTTGCTTCG